CGCTTTTAACATTTAAGCAACATAAAGAACTGACCGTAACACTTGGTGCCTTCTGCCAGAAATCCCTAATACCTTTAAAAACGTTCATGTTTGATGAACATTATTTGAATAATCGACAACACAATCAACTGCACATCAATTTTAATTTGAATAATATTACTGCGTATCACCGTGATAGATCCTGCTACATTTGTTATCCTCCTGAACAAGTTACATCAGAGCGTTTTCAACAATTTTGGAATTGGATTACTGCTGAGTATCCTGCCGTGACATTTACCAGATATACTCAACAATATTTGGAAGAACTCAACTACACCTATCTCTACATTGGTACTGCTAACGCAGTAAACGACGCCTTACATAATCTCATTTTCAGTATTCGGTATAATATTGGATTTGACGAATCCCCTGTTGTAGTTAGGCAAAATATATACAACGCTTTCATTTTAACAAGAGGATTTGCTTTAGACCCACTATTTGTATTATATCAGATATCAGAAACAACTTCTGTACCACCTTCTGTTACATCTGACGATACTGATTCTACTATTTCTAGTGGTATATTTAATAATCATTTACCTAATAATAGTCTATTATTTACCGACGAAGATTTAAACTTAGAAAATCTATTTGAAGAAATGGCAGCCAATCAAGCTGATGTACAAGCTCTCACTGCGGCCCTACAACAAATGGCTGGGATCTTTAATCCAAATGCACCACCTGCACCTAATGGTAACAATGGAGTTTTCAATTTGATTAATCAACTTCAAGCCAATGCAAATGCTATAACAGCCAACCCACCTCGAAGGGAATCACGTATCGCTGACCTTCCTTACTTTTATGGTGGAAACCAAGATCCAATTAGTTGGTTAGAGGATTTTACCCGTGCCTGTAATGCAAATGGAATCAATGATAATAGGAAGCTAGAAGTTGTACCAGCATATTTGAAAAATTCAGCTTCAACATGGTGGACCAATAATCAAGCGCTTGCAAATAACCATGGAAATCGAATAACAGCATGGGCTGGTAACAATAATAATACCGATTTCAGAGTTGGCTTTCCCGCTGCATTCAGATCGCAAACTCTTGTTGAAATTTGGACAACTGAATTGGAGAAGAGACGACAACAATCTGGTGAATCTGTTGATGACTATGGTAGTGCATTGTTTGAATTATATCGACGAGTAGAGACACCAGCATTTCAATACCCAGATGCATACAAGGCCAGACGACTTGTCAGTGGACTTTTACCAGAGCTCCACCTGTTGGTAAAACCATTCAATGACCAAACATGGAATGCGGCATTGGAAAGGGCTAAACAATATGAGTTGACCTACAAGGATACTACCGCAGTACAAGCTTACATGAGCAAATACAGTACTCCTTCAACTGTCGATAATCAAGTGAATACCTTGAACAATGCTATCGCTGCATTATCTCAACAAATACAACAACTTAATATAGGAAATAACAACAGGCGAAATTATCAGGGCAACCAAAGGAATAACCAAACGAACTACCAGCAAAATAGTCAACCGAATAATAATAACAATCGGTTCAACAATTTCTCTGCAAATAATAATCGTGGAAACCTCACCTGTTATGGTTGTGGACAGCCTGGTCATATAAAAAGAAACTGTCCTCTCAATATCATATTCAATAATCAAAATAACCAGCAGATGAATACTCCAGTTAATCCACCACCTGTTGTAAACCCAATCCCAGTAAATAATTTAACAACTAACATACCGCCACCTGTTAATAATACAGTTAATAACAATCCACCAAACAATCCAAATAATCAAGCGTTACAATTGTTAGCACAATTGTTGGGACAACAACAAGACGATCAGTCTTTAAACTAGAAGGTGTACCTCAAGAGGGTAATGGTACGAAACCTTCTTTTGTCCCCTCTAACTTATCAATACAGGAAGCATTAATAAATAAAAGGAGAAGAGTAGCCAATGAAGAAGATTCTGTCAGAGCAAGAGAAAATCAACAGAGAGATACAGTTGCAAAAAGAATCACTAAACCAAAAGGAAAAAGGAAACCTCCAGTTGCGCCACCTGTAGTTAACATGGTACCTCTCTATAATATACAACAACTATTTGACCAACCAGCTAACATAACCAATGGACAACTATTGGCAACGAACCCTAAAGTGGCGAGAGATCTAATGAATAAATTAAGGAAGCCAATTAATAGAAAACCAAATAAAGGTAAAGGCCCCGAAGTACCACAAGGAGATAACCCATTTTCATTTGAAGTACTTCCATTTGGATCTAAACCGAACAATGACGATGAGGAACCTAATGAACCATCTGGATCTAAGGAAATGGATACAGGCGAAAATGAACAAGAAGACCTCCTTGCAACAAATGGGACATATCAAACAACTATTAAAAACAATAATCAAAAGTCAACTGCTCTTTATTGTCAAGCGCACATTAAAAATAAGGAGATATCGCTAATTGTTGACTCAGGTTCTTCAGGATGTATTATGTCCGCTGCACTAATGGAAGAACTTGGAATGGAATGTAATGCTGTCTCAAATACAATAATGGTTAACGTTAATGGTGAAAGGAGAAGACCTCTAGGAAAAGTTACCAATGTTCCCTTAAGAATAATGGGAAAAATAATTTCTTTCGATGCTATAGTAACTAGAACAGATTCCTATGACGCTATTGTAGGAAATGACTGGTTAGAAAAAACTGATGCTGAAATAAGTTATAAAAACAAGATCATGACACTCTACTGGGGAGACCATGCAATAAATGTGCCAATTGAATTTCGTCAATCCCCAAAAATAAGGACCGAATCAGTTAATGAGGATGAAAGTGAGGAAGAATATGAGGAAGAAGAATATGAGGAGAATAATGACGAAGATGAAGAACAGGAAGAACTATTCTGTTTCACAGAAGAATTATCCGTAGAAGAAATCCAAACAATCAATCATGAAATGGAAAGCCCATCGGAACAAAATCAAATTACAAAGGAATTCTTTTATCAATACAAGGAAACTGAAAAGGGAAACTTTCATGTTGGAAACCTTACACCAGAACAAACTGAAAGGTTTAATGATTTTATGGCACAATATAATGATCTTTTTATTTGGGAACCTGACCAGTTTGGAAAAACAAATGTAATCACACATGCCATCGACACTGGAGAAGCAACTCCTATAAAGCAAAGGTTCTATCGAACCTCATACAACAACCAACAATTCATAAAGGAAGAAATTGATAGATTATTAAAAACTGGTTTAATAAAACCATCGAAAAGTCAATGGACTTCACCTGTAGTTGTAGTGGAGAAAAAGAATGGCAAAAAACGTTTATGTGTTGATTATCGTAAGCTCAATAATGTTACAAAAAGGGATCACTATCCATTACCACGAATTGATGATATGTTAGAAACATTACAAGGCTCACAATGGTTTACATCACTGGATCTTGCTAGCGGATTCTGGCAAGTTGAATTGGAACCTAAGGATAGAGAAAAGACCACTTTCATTACCAGATTTGGAACTTATGAATTCAATGTTATGCCCTTCGGTCTTTGTAACGCTCCAGCAACATTCCAAAGGTTGATGGATACTGTCTTGAGAGATATCTTGTGGCAATATGTAATTGTCTATGTTGATGATATCAACATTGGCTCAAAATCATTTGATGATCATCTATTACACTTGGAGCAAGTATTCCTGCGATTGCGACAAGCTGGATTGAAACTAAGTCCAGAGAAATGTTTCTTCTTTAAACATAAATTACCTTTCCTTGGTCATGTTATCAGCAGAGAAGGAATTCAAACAGATCCAGATAAAGTAATTAAAATTAGAAACTTCCCCATTCCAAGAGACCTGACACAACTAAGAGGATTCATTGCCCTTGCATCTTACTACAGAAGATTTATCAAAGGATTTGCAAAGATAGTTGAACCATTAAATAGATTATTAAAAAAGGATACACCTTATTTTTGGACACAGCAACAACAAGATGCCTTTGAACGACTTAAAAATTGTTTGATCACACCACCGATACTTGCATATCCAGATTTTAATAAACCCTTTGTTCTTTACACCGATGCTTCTTCTTTCGCTCTGGGAGCGATACTTTCTCAAAAGGATGAACAGAATAGAGAACGAGTTATTGCCTACGCAAGTAGAGCATTAAGACCACCTGAAAGAAAATACTCAGTTACAGAACAAGAATGCCTAGCTGTAATTTGGGCTGTTAAATATTATCACCATTACTTGCATGGACACAAATTTACAGTAATCACTGATCACGCTGCCTTGGCTTATTTAAAGAATATGACAAACCCTGTTGGAAGACTTGGACGTTGGCTAATGATACTCAACGCTTATGAAATTGAAATTATTAATCGACCTGGAAAACTTCACACAAACGTAGATACATTAAGCCGAATACAACACTAATAAGTTTTCAACTACAAACTCAATAGCAAACGGATTTATTTATAACGAACACTCTAACGATAATTCTTTTCTGATTTAACCCAACATGGACTCGGACACATATTTTTCACTGGTATACTATCTCACGGAACTCCAAATGCCAACACGATTAAACCAACAACAGCAAGCAGCAATTAAACGAAAGGCAAGATATTTTATTGTAATAGAAGGACAACTTTACAAAAAGAATAAGCAAGAACCACATCGCCCACTAAAAGTTGTCAAAATTAATGAAGTAGATATGATATTGTATAATTTGCACTCTGATCCACTGGCTGGACACTTTGCATTAGAGGAGACGTACAGGAGAATCAAAATTAGGTACTATTGGCCACAAATGTACGATGACGCTCGACGATATGTTCAAACTTGTGACGAGTGTCAAAGGAGAGGCAAAAATAAGAGAACTGAACCTCTACATCCAATAAAGGTTGGACAACCTTTCGATCGAGTAGGTATGGACATTGTTGGACCCTTACCAATAACTAAAAGAGGAAATAAGTACATTGTAGTAGCGACGGACTATTTAACTAAATGGCCTGAAGCAAGAGCGTTACCAAACGCTAAAGCATCATCAGTAGTTCCCTTCTTTTATGAAGATATCATTTGTAGACATGGATGTCCAAAAGAACTTTTGACAGATAGAGGAACACATTTCGTCAATGAAATGTTGGATTCTTTATGTAATGAATTGGGAGTAAAACACAAATTGACCACCGCATATCACCCCCAGACCAATGGACTTGTGGAAAGATTTAATAGAACACTATGTGAAACTTTGGCAAAATTTGCAAATGAAAATAAGGATGATTGGGATACCTTTGTTCCTTCTACATTATTTGCATATCGCACAAAAAGGCATAATACTACACGACATGAACCTTTTTATTTAACTTATGGAAGAGAAGCAATTTTACCAATAGAGTTTCAAGTACAAACACAAAAAGTACAAACAAGGGAAACCAATAATGAGGATGATCTATTAAATCGTGTATGACAAATAACTGGAAGAATGGATCACGACATTAATCAAGCGCAGTCAAAT